CAGTGCATCTTTGGCACCTAAACCATACGCTGGAGACATCTGTGCCCTAATTTGACCTGAAGCAGGCATCCTAACATAAAGAGAAATCTTAAAATGCAAAGACAGCAGGCAGAGATAAATTATATGGGAAATGAGACGAGAAAGGGTGAAGGGAAAGGATCTCTAAAGCAGCAGGTAAAGGGTTAGCTATATTATTCCTGATACTGTTATTGACAGCTACATGCATACATTCCCATGTGTCATTTTAAGCAGACAGATGCACATCACAGGAATGATGTGCAATTCCAATCCTTGGAAGCTCTCAGGGTTGCACTGGTAATTTGCCAGCAGCCTAAAAGGCTGTACCTAATTTGCACCAAAATATGCATGATGCTTAAAACAAAATACTTAGGAGGCCATAATGCTTGTTCATATGTGACTTTCTCATAAATGAATGGAAATTGTTTCTCTTTTGGGGTTCAATGGTAAAAGAAATCCACTGCTGATGTCTTCCTCTTGAAGTATCCCTACAGTTTGTACAAATCAGTTTCTACAGACACAGATGTGACCTCCTGAAGACATATACAACTTCCCAAGCACCTGTTACTACAGTAGTAGCATGTGCCATCTCAGCTCTGATCCCGCCTCAATTATCAGTCAGAAGGATAAACAACTGTAATGAAAAAATCCTGACCCATGAGCACCAAACCTCCCACTCCTTGTGAAAACTGGTGTCCTCTGCTCAGACTGCAAGGTTTTGAGGTCAGCAGGTACCACTGCCACTCTGCTGAGCTCTACAAACCACTCTGACCCAAAACTGTGCCAGAAGATGACCCAGATTCTAGAAAACTGAATAACACCCTGCTCGTAATGTGTGAATACTCTTCTCTGTGTCCATATGTTGGGCACAGACTGGCTGTCTTCAGGTATAGCGAGACACACACACCGCATGGCTTACAATTCTTCAAGTTTGAGGAATGTTGTACACATACGCATTACTTTTATTTTTCAATCACAAGAGAATTCACTTCAGTGCATCCCTTGGCAGTATATGGTGATGCCAAACAAAAGAAGGACCTGCATAGAATTCTAACAGCTTTGTTGCTTTCCTCTGTGCCCCGATGATATGAAACACAACCTGGTAACATCATAAGCTGTTTCCACGTGAATGCAATGATACCCAGACAGTGTTTAAAAAAAAAAAAAGACTAAAAAAATGTGTGCACATGTGGAATAAGTGATTGTGACACAGTCTGAAACACAAACATAACATCTGGAAGCACTCTTCTCAAGTCTGCCTCTTTATCACACAGATGGCTGGAGAGCTGTAAGCCCACGGGCCTCTCAAAAGGTTCAAGGCCAAGAGGATAAAGTGCTACATCACAGCAGTTTTCCATTATGTCAGTTTTTCTAAATGTCTCTCCGTTCTCCCACACTCAGTTTCTCTACCCAGTTAACAGAAATCAAAAGCACTGGGTGACTCCATTCCTCCACAAACAAAGTACAACATCCACGGGTAGAAACAGCAACCCAAGAACAGACTGAAGGCAGCTTGTTCCAGCCCGCTTCCAGGCTTGAAGGAGCAAGCGGAGTTAGGCCTAGATTAGCCCCAGTCTCTGCTTCTTAGTTGTTCTTGACACTGCAGTTATAGGATGCTCTGGCTTTGGCAGAGAAGCCAGCTTAAGAAATTCCCCTAACCCTCCTTGCTCCTACCCTTAATCCGTCTTTCTCATCCCCACAGCCGACAGCATACCAGCTGGTGGAGGTATGCTATTAAAAAAAAAAAAAAAAAAAAAAAAAGACGAAAATTACTTAGGCTAAAAATAATCCTTGCTCTGTCTTGGAACAGCTCTTATACCCTGTGGTGGCAATCCAGAATAAACTACACAGCAAATACGAACCCTTTCACTGAAGCCGTTCTCAGGGTAGATGTGGTACTTCATAAATCAACCACACAAGCCTTAGGCTGGAACCAAACAGAGGCAAGACTAAGACATGGAAATGGTTATAACAGTAACCAAAAATATCTCTTCATCTACCCTGAGGACACATTTCAAACCTACCAGCTTTCTTCCAGAAATGAGAAACAACAAGGGAAAACAAGTGACCAAGCAGTAGTCTAAGACTTTGTTTTCACTAATCAGCACTGTTGTTATCCTCATCAATAGCTACTTGAATCTCAGCACAAATTGCATTATGAGGCACACAAACATTGCTGATTTCAAGCTGTTTTCAGTTACTTGCTATAGTGGTAAAATCTTTCTGAATAAATCTAAGTTAAGAATCTATGGCTCTTGGCTTTAGCAGCACAAATTCAAAGAGAACAAATATTGCTTAAAAAAGTAACAAAGTGTGACCCACTTAAATTCTCAAAAGGTAATGGGTAAACAATTATCGATGTGAAGTATCTAAAATATGTCCCTTATTTTTTACTATTTATATGATGTGAAAGGCATATTAGCTGCCAGGTGGTGTTGCATTCAGATACAAACTGCTTGTTTCAAAGTGCTTACAATGTAATTATATCCATACACTAATGATAGTAGAAATATGCAAGAAAAGAAAACCAACATGGCAACAAAAATGAATAGTTCTATTGAGTATGGGCATTTGTTTCCATGGATATTAAGGGG